TATTTCCAGCAACCATGCAGCACACCTCCATCATACTCACCCAGGAACCTACCCCTACAATCAATTCTAGTGCCAACTCTTCCCACACATCTATACAAACATCATCACAGGACCTAACCACATAAGCCACCATGTCAAAGGCTCATACAACTGTATATCCAGTAATGTGAGCTATGCCATTAAGTGCCAGCAATGCCCTTCCGCCATGTATACTGGCCAAACTGGACAGTCTTTAGAACAAAGGATTAATGGACACAAATCAGATATTCAGAATGGTAACACACAGAAACCTGTTGGGGAACATTTTAACTTGCCCAGGCACTTACTAATGAATCTAAAAGTGACTATATTATTACAAAGCAATTTGAAAAACCAACTTGAGAGAGAAGCTTCAGAACTGGGTTTCATTTACAAGTTTGACACCTGGAGACAATGTCTGAAAAAGACCTGAACTGGAAGGGCAGCTACATTCCATACTCTAATGACATAAAAAGCTAAGCACTGGGTACTTAGAGCCCACTCTATTAGCCTCATTTAGCATGGACACTCTAATTGACAATTCCCCCCCCCATTTTTTCCTTCTCTTTCCTCCCCATCCCCTCTCTCTCTCTACTATTTATTTGTACTCCTCAACTCCATTCATCTGAAGAAGTGGGTTGTGCCCACAAAAGTTCATACCCCCATCTACATTTTTTATTAGTCTCTAAGGTGCTGCAGGACCATTCCTTGTTTAAGTTGTTCAGTTACAGACTATCACAGCTACTTCTCTTAGCCCAAAAATTGTTCTTATTAATTAATAAAAATAAACAGGCCCGCCGCACTGTGCCGATGGTCACCTGATCCGGCACAGCGTGGCAGTCTAGACGCGCATCTGTCAGCTGGAGAAGCCTTTGCCGACCGATCCTGTAAACCTCATTTCACGAGGCATAAGGGATCAGTCGGCAAAGGCTTCCCCAGCCGACAGATTTGCGTCTAGATTGCCGCGCTGTGCTGGATCAGCTGATCATCGGCACAGCGCGGCAGCCATGTTTATTTTAATGAAGCGGGGATTATTTAAATCTCCACTTCATTGACTATGTCAGGTAAACTAGTTTACAGGGGTGCAGGTCAGGACTTACTGTGTGGGGCTGCTGCCTGGGGCTATCTGAAGTCTGTGCTTTAAGGGACCCTCCCGGACAGCCAGTTCTCAGGTTTCCCTGCTTGCTTGTCTACCTCGATGAGGGACGGCAAAGCATTTTGTCGCTGCGTGCTCTGGTTGCCCTCACTCAGGTCACCACAGCACTCGGCAACATGGACCCAGAGCCACCCTAGGGCACTCTGGTGCTTCTCTTGGATGCACTGCTGCAAGCCTGGCTGCACTTTCTGCAGGCTGCCATCCAGGAGGTCCATCGGGGGGCTGTCAGTATCCAGAGCCTTCCTGGTCTGCCCCACTGGGGGCTTGTGCCTTATTCCTCCCTCATGTTCTTCCACTTATCTCTCCCTATCTCCCCTTCCTGATGTAAAATAAAATACACGTATTTCCATGAATCCCAAATCTCTTTATTTAAGAAAACTGGGGGGGGGGGGGGGAGAATGAAACTCTGGTGAGACTGGGGAAAGGAGGCGGGAGAGGGGAGAAGAGAGGGTAGGAGAGGGGAGGGGGAAACCTGGGAGGAGGGAGCTGGAAGGGGGAAGCAAGGGAGAGAAGGGGGAGGGGAAGCTCAGGGCTCAGGGTTGGGGGTCTCGCTGGACCAACTTGATTGTCGTGCAAACCTGCTCTTGGATTCACATGTGGCCTTTGATGGCCAGGCTGGCAGCTATCCTGCCAAGACAGCTGCGTTCCTCCGCCTAGTGCAGAGATCATGGACATTGGGGGCATCCCCCCCAAACCTGAATAAGGTCCATGGTCTCCACCCTGGACCAAGAAGGCGCCTGCCTTCTCCCGGTGCCCTGGCAGTATCCTTGGAGCTGGCAGACCGCTCCTGGGGAGCAGTGTAGGGCTGGCTGCCAGTGGCTTGCTGGCTCATGTTTTGGGGCCACTGGGTCAGGGGCAGTGACTGCTGGCTGGGCTGGCAGGCTTGGAGATGTCACAGGCACTGTGGCCAGAGTCTACCCCTTTAAGGGCTCCGGGGAAGGTGGGAGGGAAAGAAGTGTTCTTGGTTGAGGCCAGAGTGGCCACCAACGCACCCTGGGAAGGCTGGAGGCCCCGTATTTCAAAATAAGTGTCTACACAGCACTTATTTTGAAATAGCTATTTCGAATTTGGCGTTATTCCTCATAGAATGAGGTTTACCAAATTTGAAATAAGCGCTCCGCTATTTCAAATTTATTTCAAAATAGCAGTTTGGCTGTGTAGATGCTAGGAAAGTTATTTCGAAATAACTTTGCTGTGTAGACATACCCTCAGGTGCTGCAGGACTATTTATTGTTTTTAAGTTTTTTCAGTTATAGACGAACACAGCTACCCCTCTGAAACCTTTGAACATGCTGGGTTCAAGTTGTAGTTTTGCCATCCAATTTACACAGGGATGGGGGAGAAAGGGAGCAGATAGCAAAAGTTTTCTGTTTTTTTCCAATATGTAGTTTGTTCTCTCTTTGCTTCCAACTTCCATTTCTATCATTTTGGTGTCATGACTCACTTCAGTGTGACATTTTGTTTGCTTTTTAAGCATGACACTTACATGCTGTACAGGATCAGGGCCAGAGTGCTCAGCATTTAGTGACATTGAGCCCAAGAAGATTCAAAAGCAAGAGAGCAACCCCAACTAAGCCATGGAGCCCCAGGTCGGAACATGGTTTATTGCGACAAATTTAAAAACATGTTCAGAAACAAATTCTAGTAAGGGAGTCTTCTAAGATCTGAACATAAGGTTGCAGAGAGAATGTGACCAGTATCTAGAGGTCTTGGAGAGAAGAAGTCACAGGACAAGGAATAAGAGCCATTAATCCTGTATGCTGATGAATTGCCCTGCCTACACTTGGAAAAAGTTTAGTGATTCCCCAGTACAGCTAACAGCAGCTTTCTCCATTGCTGTTAGCAATGCTGGGAGCTGTACATTCTGAATTAGCATCTGCAGACATTCCTCCTTCCTGGGAAACAGTAATTCATTAGAATTTCTTTTCACCTATTACAAATCTAGGGAAAAGATATGCTAGAGTTTTCTGACTACTACCACCAGTTCACAGTTACTCCCTTCATCTAGACACATTTAACTTAATCTAATTTAAATTTATAAAACCTGAGTTTATCATCTTTTGGTGACTGTCACCTTGGTATCTTAATTCTTAATGCCTCTGAAAATGATGAAGCATACACATGTTTTTAGTCTCCTTATTGGATGCTTTGGCTCACTCTCCTGTCTGAGCTGTTGTGTGGGCAACTGTTCCTTTCCCTTTCATTTCACTTTCAGAGTGTACTGCATAGTAATCAGTAACATGTTCCCTCAATTTCCACAATAACAACATTTTCCAAATAGTTAATTTGCATTATTATGGATTTTTACATTGGGTCCCAGCTGGTAAAATATCTCACAAAATGTTACAACATCCCCCAAAAGACTCTTCAGAATGAATGCTGGAAACATTAGCCAGCTCTAGTTAGATCAAACAATTTGCTTTTCAGTTTGGGTTAAATCCTGCTTTGATATAAACCAGTAGAAATTTTGTCACTGATTTCAGTGTGGACTCTTGTTTTTTCATTGTTGTTTTGTGTTCTGACTCAGCATACATGTGTAGGTAAACTAAATATATGTTATATTGTTTGGATTTTTAAAAATTATACATTTGGGCTACGTCTACAATGCAGGCTTTTTGCGCAAGAACGCGTGTTCTTGCACAAAAACTTGAGGAGTGTCTACACTGCACGTGTGTTCTTGCGCAAGTACATTTACAGTAAGGTGTCGGAACAGAGGGCTTCTTGCACAAGAGCTAGTCCTCTCCCCATGAGGAATAAGCCCTCTTGTGTGTGGACGGGCAACAGGGGTTTCTTGCATAAGAAATCCCTATGGTTAAAATGGCCATCAGAGCTTTCTTGCGCAAGAGAGCGTCCACACTGCCAGGGACGCTCTTGTGCAAAAGCACATCTCTTGCACAAAAGCACATGGCAGTGTGGATGCGCTCTTGCGCAAGACCTTTTGTGTAAGAACTCTTGCGCAAAACAATTTTTTGCGCAAAAAGCCTGCAGTGTAGACGTATCCTGAATGTTTCCATTGGTCTTAAAAACTAAGTCTAGATAGAATGCTATTTTAAACTCAAAAACCACATTCCAAGCAACTTACACATAACTTGAAAGTTGTTTCATCTAGCAAAGTTTTAACTACAAGCTACCACCTCCTCCAGTATACGTAGCTTCCCTATTATCTGAAGCTCCTAGAGACATTTGCCTTTGTGAAAAGAGCTACACATTTTGGACAATAATGATTTTAGGTTCTATGTGTTACTTTGTAATATTTTAAAAATCAAAGTATCTTTTAAACACTTCTCAGTCTTAATTTTTGCTCATGGTTCTCAGTTAAAACTAATGTAATTTTGGATGGCTGGGTTGAAGATATGGACTTCTTTATTTTCTGATGCTCACTGTTCAGGGTTTAATATCAAAACCCTCCTTAAGGATTTACAAAGACTGGTTTAGGGCTAATTTCACATGCCTTGTCCATGTTCAATTTTACTCACACTTGCATAATTTACATACACAGTTGAGTAAGGCTTGTAGAATATGGCATATAAGGTTCTGATTCCACAAGGTGCTTAAAGAATGTATTTTAAGCACGTGAGCAATCTTGTGGAAATCAGTGATTTTATGTGCTTTGCTGGTTTGAATCCTAAACATTAGCGCCCCAGTTCAGGAAAGCACTTAAGCATTGTTAAATCCACTCTATTTAGGAAATCATTTCTGAGGACTTAACTGAGACATAAGTACTTAAGTGCTTTCCTTACTTCAGGCCCAGAAAGTGGAAAAAGGAGGCAGGGATGGAAATGTGTTTCCTTTGAGGATCAGTGGTTCATTCTAACAACGTCTTACTTGAGGGTGGTGAGTTCCGTAAGTGATGGCTGGGTGGCCTTGAGATAGCTCTCCCTCCGTGCTGCAATCTTTGGCGATAGCTTCGGGCTGGTGTCTGAGTCCCCACTATCATCGTCCGCCATGGCTTTAATGTAACTGCCACTGCGCATCCGCCGGCATGGAATCTCATCATCTTTGCCTTGAGGAGTGTAGCCAGTCCATTCATCTTGTGGAACCTACAGTAACAAACACAATTCAGATGTTCAATATACCGTCTTCTATAACAGCCTACGGTAGGATTAGAAAACAGTCAACTACAGCTGATCTTTCATTCAAAGGACATATGACTAGGACATATGACCGGTGTGTGTGTTTTGATCTGAACCCAGCCCTAGCATTTTGGTTCAGGATACATACACACCAGAAGACCTTCTTTTCCATTTTGGATTTGATGCATGTTAAATGTAATGAAGGAGTACATATAGTGGTGTGACTCTTAGGTTATGTCTACACTGCAGAGTTTTTGCACAAAAAAGGCCAGTTTTGCGCAAAAAGTCGGGGAGTGTCCACACTACAAGCGTGTTTTTGTGCAAGTAAATTTACAGTAAATCAGAAGAAAAGAGGGCTTTTTGCGCAATAGTTATTCCTCTTTCCACGAGGAATAAACATATTTGTGCAAGAGCTCTTGCACAAAAAGGCGTGTGTGAATGGCAAACAAGGGTTTCTTGTGCTAAAACAGCCTATCAAAAGAAGCACAGGTGCCTTGGTGGCCATTCTGTTAATGGCAATCAGAGCTTTCTTGCGAAAGAGCATCCATGCATGTATTGGTGACTCTTCTGCAAAAGGACTCTTCGGCAAAAAGCTTCTTGCGCATGCATTGTAGACGTATCCCTAGACTCTTTTCTGTATACTGCACCTTTCATGGTAAAGGGAACCCAACAGTCTGCCTCCAGGGATGCTCCTCCTAAGTTTCAAAAGTTCAAAATGGCTGTTGGTAAACAATCACACTTATCCAACCACCTCTCTCTCCTACAGTGATCATATATTTGTTCTTTCTCCTTGTTATTTTCTTTAATCTAAAATAAAAGTTATCCAAACATTATGGGAAATTCCATGAGAACAACTGTCTCACCCATGCCCTTTCCCCCATTCCTACTGTCCTCAGGGTACAAGCCATCATTTTGGCCTGTAAAGTTGAGAAAACACATGCCTGCCTGAATAACAGTAGAAATGAGAGCAGATGTGAAGTGGAATAGGGTTACTGAAGGAGTGGTTCTGAAGTCAGTTCTTTCATTGCAGAAGCCCAGTTTTTCCAGATTGGAGAAATGTGAGTAGATACTCCAAAATCATAAAAGCAAGTAGGGAACATTTTAAAGAAATAAAGTACCTATAATCTTTAGTTTTCCCACCTATTCTTTGCTCCTTAACTTTATTGAGCTCAACAGATTAAGGTAATTTATATTGCTCACACAGTGACTGTTATATTATACTGAATAGACACTATCAATTGTTGGAGGTCAAAATGTGACCTACAACACAGGAATAGTAGTTTCCCCCAATGGGCATTACAATCTGTAGTCCCTTTTTGTGTGGAAACTGATGCTACAGAAATTATTACATGTGATTCCACAACACACAACTTTCAGAGCAGTTTACTGAATGTGCATTGTTTCTTATATGTTAGCGCCACTTCTAGCACTAATGCAGCAGTTTGTTTAACCTGTTATAATGAAAAGTCAAACATTTCTTTGGTTGTTTGTTAAATTTAAATTAACGTTTAGTTGCTGACTCCTCACAAACAGGAACATGAGTCCTGAAGGAAGATAAGCCCTTTCAAACATAACTGTAGCCAATGCAGGTCAAGCTTCATGGAACACAAACTCTGGAAATGTTGCTATAAAACCAAACTCAACAAAACACTGCACCAGATAAAGAAAAGTCCCCAAATTATTATATTTGGCCACCCAAGCTAGCTGTAAACCACCCAGGTGGGTTTTTTTGTTCCTTTTTAAATTGTCCTGTCACATCTATGACCTCATCACATCCCGAATCCTTTCTTTACAATATTTCTAAAATTCAGTCCTTCCCTCCCTACTGCCATGACAATATTTCATGCGCAACCTCTTTTTTTTTCACATCCTTCTTTCTTATCTCTTCTTCCTCCAGCTCACCATCCTTCTCTGCTACTTTTCTGGTGTATTTGCCTTTCTGAAATTTCTGCATTGGTCCCTGCTCCTCTTTTGTATTAAGCTTCTGTTTCTCTTCCAAGTACAGGCAGTCCCCGGGTTACGTACAAGATAGGGACTGTAGGTTTGTTCTTAAGTTGAATTTGTATGTAAGTCGGAACTGGTACATATTGTAGGGGAAACTCTAGCCAAACATTTCTCCAGAACTCAGTTTTATTCTCCTACACCTCACTTCCCTCAGTCCTTTATTCTCAAGCTGAGGTGTCTGCTGAGAAAAGCCGCTCCACGTCTCCCTGGTCTGCTGGGGGGCGGAACTGGTACATATTGTAGGGGAAACTCTAGCCAAACATTTTTTTTAGTTTTGGATAGCATAGGGAAAGGTTAACTCCCCTCTAATGTTTGTTTTGCTGTCTGTTCCCCTGTTCAGAAGATTTCACATCTATTTCTGTCCCTGTGACAAACTCAAAGGAGTAACTCATCAAATACCAAACAGCTCTGCACCATGCTTTGAGCTAATAGCTTTATTTCCACACACCACCCAGGATTCTAGGAGGAGGGTCCTTTTTTTGCTAACACAATGAGGCCAGCACTTTGTTTGTTTTGGTGGAGTCTTTGTTTGCCCAGGGAGCCCAGCATGTATAGGGGGAGGAGGGGTGTAGCCAGACAGGAACCCCCTTGTAACATCCATTTTTGCTTGCCTGGAGCATACAGGGCACACAGAGCAGAAGGCCCAGGCTGTGTGACCATGAATGGCTATAAACAGAGATATGCCAATTGCTGACCAAGAGGCTGCCAAGGAGTGCCCTTGACTTAACCCATATTGATACGAACACACATCCATCCGCGGGGGGAGGAATCTCTCGCCCAGTAAAAAAAATGTCTAGTGCTCACAATTTAGTTATCTCTCTTGCAAGTGTAAATTAACTTGAAACTTGCTTATAAGAACTGGCGCCACAAAACGGACCAGTACAATTCGGCATCTTAGATAAGAAAGAGAATACGGGCCCCCAGGGGTATAAAGATAGGTCCAGCAGCGCATTTTCTCTGAGTGTCAATCTACCATCTATCTGCTGGTCGGGTTAGGTGTTTGATCTCCCGAGGTTCCAAGGGGACGCCCACCTCGTATTCGTCTTTCCTAGGAATTGAGAGACCGGCCCTGGCCTGACACGCTAGAGTCGAGAGGCACAGAAAGGGGTAAAAATTGTACCTAGATGTGGTCCTTTGTTTAAGTATATATATACATAGACTTAGAGCTCTTTAAAGATTAAGCTGTCACTTGGTACCATTATTTCTATTTTCTATCTTTATTTTCTTTGTAACCATTTTTAAAATCTGTATTTGTTAGCATTTAAGAAATAGAGCAATAGCCATTGTAACCATATGCTTTTATAAGTCTTTAATAAACCTGTAACTGTTTAAGTTTTAACCTGACTCCTTCAGTTGCTGTAACAGAACCAAGCACAATTTAAAAGAACTTCAGCCGGTCATAAAGGGACAGACATAGGGAGAGCTTGGGC